CTCTCCAAACAACCACCCGTGGGAGAACTGAGTGGCCCAGAAGGGCAGCCCCAGCAGCAGCAGTATGTCAGCCAGCGCCAACTGGAAGAGATACCGGTCGGCCAGGTTCCAGGGGCATCGTCGCCGCCCCAGCACCACCAATACCAGCCCATTCCCCACCAGCCCCGCCACAAAGACCAGGGCAAAAACGGGGGGGACAAAGTACTGCGCAAATTCGCCGACTGCTTCTGGCCTGCAGGGGGCGGTGTCCTCGCTGATGTCGGGGTAGACCGTGTAGTCCTGGGAGGGAGAGACAAAGAGGAGGGCTGAGAGGGGATGCCAGAGAAAGATGCCAGTTTACCTACCAGCCCATTCCCCACCAGCCCCGCCACAAAGACCAGGGCAAAAACGGGGGGGACAAAGTACTGCGCAAATTCGCCGACTGCTTCTGGCCTGCAGGGGGCGGTGTCCTCGCTGATGTCGGGGTAGACCGTGTAGTCCTGGGAGGGAGAGACAAAGAGGAGGGCTGAGAGGGGATGCCAGAGAAAGATGCCAGTTTACCTTGCTGAGTGTGCCGGGCAGGGTCCCTTGCACTGACGTCCACGTAGCCTGGACAGGGGATTGGAGAGCATTGCCAAACCCACTGAGCTGGGTGGGGTGGGGCTCTCTGAGAGTAGCTTGAAGCTTTTTCCACATTTCAGGAGACTGGAGTGGGGGCAGGAGGCAAAGTTAATAATCAAATACCACAGAATCGTAGGGCTGAAAGAGAACTCAGGAGGCATCAAGTCCAGCTCCCTGCCCAAAGCAGGACCAATCCCAACTAAATCATCCCAGCCAGGGCTTTGTCAAGCCGAGATTTAAAACCTCTGGGGATGGAGATTCCACCCCCTCCCTAGGGAACCCATCCCAGTGCTTCCCCACCCTCCTAGGGAAATCTCCAGCCTAACCCTAACCCTCCCCCACTGTAACTTGAGACTTTCCTTGTTCCTCTGGCCTCCCACATCTGTCACTTGAGTCTCTGGGTCAGGGACTATTGTACAGCCCCCAGCACAATGGGCCCAAGGGCCTTCATGGGTCTTGATCTGGATGCTGGGCAGAAGATTCAGCAGTTCCAGAGTGACTTGGCTTCCTAAATCCCATTGGCAAAAGAGATGACTGGCTTTGAGCCCCTTGAAAATGGCACTTATGCTCCTAAATCGCTCAGGTATTGGGGCGCGTTTGCCTGCAGGGCATGTGCTGCTGCTGTTATGATAGGGACCCTAGAGGCTACTCCTGCACGTCGTTCTTGCTGCTTTGATTATGAAAACTTGGTGTTTTTTCTAGATTGCTTGTTTGTAAGAGTTATTGCCTTGTTTAAAAGATCTCTGGAGCTTTGCACAGTCATTTTGGCTTCGCAGGGCACAGCTGTTGCCTTCTCATTCAGTCCGTCAGCGATGGGCCCAAGCCCCAAGGCCGCCTTGACCACTTTCAAATGAGCAATGATTGATTGCTTGTGCTGTGCCGTAGGAATGTGCCTTCGCTTCTGCTAAGCACACTAGGGCCAGGTTTGAAGAATGTAACCTACAAGCCAGCCCCAAACTACCAGTCAGACCAAGTAGCATTCTCCAAAGGTTGAATATTGCACTGGGCAAACATGTCTGATACAACCCCCCCGGTCCGGGCTGGCCTCTGGGGCCCTGACCCCCACGACACTGGCTGACTTCCCAGTTAGGTCTGTATGGGTAAGCGGAGGAATGGTCCCGCTATTGTGGGGAACTTTCCTGGCTTCTATACACCCCGGCGAAATGGACCAGCAAAAGGATCTGAGTCCCCGCTCCCACTTCCTTTACCCCACGGCCTCCCTGATTCTGAGGGCTCCCCCTCCACTCTCCTGAGTAGCAGAGCCCTCGAAACCCCAACAAGGCTGGGCCCAGGTTTCCTGGGGCTTAATCCCTGACCTTGTAGTCACTAGAGGCAGGAGTTAGGGTGTCCCCACTCCGAGGTGCTCTCTTTACACTGCAGGCCTTCTTGGCCCAGTGACCACTTCATAAGGTTCAAAGCAAATACAATTTATTAAACATCAACAGATTAAAGAGAAAAGAATAAGAAAAAATGAGACTGGTTCAATGAGAACACACAGCCCTGCTCTGTAGCACAGGGACATCAACACAGCAGTCTGCAGAGTGTAAGGACAGTTCACAGTCTCTTCCTTAGAAGCCCTGGATGTGCTGCAAGGGGCTGCAGGCTGGACACGCTTGCACTGGCAGTGACCACACAGCCTCAGTCTCTAAGTGGCCAGACCCCTCTCCCAGTCCAGAGCCTTTCCCCACACTTTGCAGGTCCCAGTAGCTCACCACATCCAGCTGCAGGCTGTGCTGCTTGGCCAGTTCCAGCTCCTTGTGTTGTTTCTCTGTTCCTTTTGGCTTTCATGATCACTGTCCCCTATACTGTCTTCCACTTTCAAGTTCTCAACTAGTTCCTCCCTATTTGTTAAAAC